TGTAATCGAAATACTTTCAATAATTGGGTTTAGTTTATTGCATTTGCCTTTACGTTTATGCAAATAGTACTCCAATCTCCATTATTAAAGTTGATTGAAATAATTTTAGTTTTTGATTACTAGCTTGAATGGGCAAAGGTTTTTAAGGTAGACTTTAGTCATTTTCAATTTGAGTTACTTTTCTTTTTCTTTTTGCAGGTAATGGTAACTCAGGATTCGAAGGACAGAGTCGATATGTACCATCTTCTGGAATGTCCGCTAAGGAACTCTGTGAAAATGATGACCTAGCAACCAGTTTGGTTCTTGATCCCTATTTAGGTTTTCAGACACACAAAATGAATACTAGGTAATTTTAAGTCTTTATCCTGAATGACACAGATGATGTTGAATTTAAGAAAATAGATGGAAAGAAAGAAAATAGATTTTTACTTTCCGTCAAAAATTTGAACGACAGTAAAGGAAAATACTTTGTTACAGAAAGATTTTCTATATGTGAGCCATGAAAAACAACAAAAGCTTCTGAGAATCTTGTCAGTTTTAATTCTGTGTTCTTATTTTATCTCAGGATATTACTAAAATATAAAGCTGGGGGAGCATCTTTATTCTGTTTTAAATGTTGATGCTAATTAGTGAAAAGAAATCTGACAGGCATCCTGTACAACCTTGAAAATGTATATTTTCCACTAAAAGTAGATTACGGCCTTTTTTTTCTTCATAATTTTATTACAGACTTTTCTTTTTTTAAATAATTGCCACTGTGTTTGATCTTTGAGATGCAGCAAAGCATTCAGCTAAGTAAGATTCAACTTAGTAAGCATGAATATTTTTAAAGACGTGCTTACATTCAGTATGCAGATAATAGATGTGCAAGTGCTTTATTGAGTATTAAATGTCATCTACATAAAATATTACTACTGCATCACTCTTGAAATCTGTCATCCTTTAAATTTCTATATTTTACTTCTCTTAAATACCTTCTCTCCCACAAAAAGGCTCTTAGATAATTTTGTAATTGACTTCTGCCATACACTAAGTCAGAGCTTTACAAGTTTTCTCTCTCTTTAACTTCCATGGCAAAGGGTTTTCAAGTCTGATGGAAAAGTATAGGGATTTACAATGTAGAGCAAGTTCTGGGCCACCTCTCACTCTTACCTCAGTCACCCTGTACTGGTGTTCAGTAGCTCCAGTGTCAGTGACCAACCCTGGAAGGACTTGATCACCAGTGGATAGTCATGGATAATTAGCTAGGGCGAAGTAGGAATTGGTGAGTAAAGGTGATTGGAGGAAAATCTGTGTTCATCTTTTTCCCTTTTAACTCTCCCTTGCTAGAATGAAAACAAAATACTGTATGATGCATTTATTAATTACATTCTAAACCCAGAAAGAAGTAATTCTAGTGAAAATGTGCCTTTGGTATTTTCATGCAATTTTCTGTCATCATATATCTTTACTTAGTAAAATGAAGTGAAAAGCTGGGATGGACTTGAGAGGTTCTTTAGTTTTTCTGCCTTCAGAGGGGCAAATATTTAAATTTTCTAAATAGGCAGACAGATGGCTGTCCTCTGGAAAGTCCTCTTCTTGGTCCTTCCAGCAGACTCAAGATGCCATAGTGTCCAAGTAAAATCTAGTTAGCATTATTTTAAGTCCATTTCTCTTTTTTTTCCAGTGAACATAGGAGACCAGCACCCATTCTCTAGAGCAACGGTTCTCAACCTGTAGGTCGCGACTCCTTTGGGAGTCGAACGACCCTTTCACAGGGGTCGCCTAAGACCATCGGAAAACACATATATAATTACATATTGTTTTTGTGATTAATCACTATGCTTTAAGTATGTTCAATTTGTAACAATGAAATAGGGGGTCACCGCAACATGAGGAACTGTATTAAAGGGTTGCGGCGTTAGGAAGGTTGAGAACCACTGCTCTAGAGCAAGCATGTCACACTCTTGGCCTGCTGGCCATGCTTGCAGAGGATCCTGATAGTATTTAAGCCACCCTTTAGCCTTTTTTTTTCTGATTTAAGAAATGTGAATCACTGATTCTCATAACAGTCTAGTACAGTGATGGCAAACCTTTTGAGCTCAGCGTGTCAGCATTTTGAAAAACCCTAACTTAACTCTGGTGCCATGTCACATAGAGAAATTTTTTGATATTTGCAACCATAGTAAAACAAAGACTTATATTTTTGATATTTATTTTGTTTATGTAAATGCTATTTAACAAAAAAAAAATCAACCAAAAAAATGAGTTCGCGTGTCACCTCTGACACGCGTATCATAGGTTCGCCATCACTGGTCTAGTAACATTCAGAATTTTACTGCAAAGGCCCATAATTATGACCTGGAGTCACTAAGAAAGGGATTATCTTCATTAAGCCTTATATACTGAAATATGGAAGCATATAAACCATTTTAGAAAGCGTTACATCAAAATTATAAAACATTTTTAGTGGCTTAGGAAAAAAAATCTGTGTGTTCAGAATCCCCATGCTTTGACTGTTCCAGAGGGTAAAGGATTACCTGTTACTGGCTTCTGCTATAGGAAATAACTCCTATCCTATCCTATCCTATATAATAAAAGGCTAATATGCAAATTGACTGAACAGCTGAACAACCAGTCGCTATGATGCGCACTGACCACCAGGGGGCAGACCTCAATGCAGGAGCTGCCCCTTGGTGGTAGTGTGCTCCCACAGAGGGAGTGCTGCTCAGCCAGAAGCTCTGAGCTGAGCTTATGGCTGGTGAGCACAGCAGGTGGCGGGAGCCTCTCCTACCTCCATGGCAGCACTAAGGATGTCTGACTGCCAGCTTAGGCCAGCTCCCTAAGCCATCATTCAGACATCCCTCAAGGGCTCCCGGACTGCAAGAGGGCGGTGCAGGCCAGGCTGAGGGACCCTCGCCCCTTGAGTGCACAGATTTCAGGCACTGGGCCTCTAGTTTTCTATAAAATCCTCCTTGGTAATTAGTTTATGAGAGTTACTTGGGGAATCTTATTAAGATGCAGCTGCATGCCGAAACCGGTTTGGCTCAGTGGATAGAGCGTTGGCCTGCGGACTGAGAGGTCCCAGGTTCGATTCCGGCCAAGGGCATGTACCTGGGTTGCGGGCACATCCCCAGTGGGAGACGTGCAGGAGGCAGCTGGTCGATGTTTCTCTCTCGTCGATGTTTCTGGCTCTCTATCTCTCTCCCTTCCTCTCTGTAAAAAATCAATAAAATATATTTAAAAAAAAAAAAAAAGATGCAGCTGCTTAACCAATGGACACAGACACTGGGGTGGTGGGGACTTGCCTGGGGTGGGAATGGCTGAGGGGGGGTCAATTGGGGAAAACTTTTAACAATAAAAAAAAAGATGCAGCTGCTGACTTAATAGCTGTGGGTGGGGCCTGAGAGCCTCCATTTCTACTCTTGCAGTAGCAGGTCCTAAAGCACCTGGCCTGCTGCGCCTTCTTATGATGTCAGTGGATAAAAAGCTCCTTACCAGTAGTTTCCTAGGACTCACTTAAAAACCGTGTCCTAAAATGTGAAGTTCAAGATTGCTATGCAAATATTAAACTCAAAACCTTATCCAAGTGCCCCTAAATTTAAAAAGTATCCAGTATGTAAAATTTTTTATGAATAGAAATTGAAGGATCTAAAATAAAAACTGTTTAAACCAAGTTAAACATGCAGAAGAAAACATATATTTTCAGTGCAACACTTAATTCTTCTCATACAGTTTCTAAAGTAGCCATTGATGGTGTAGACAGTCCCACTCCCCCTGGGCAGACCGGGTTGGTTTGGCAGCAGGGGGGACCCTTAGCCCCTGTGCTCGAGCAGTTGATGCAAAGGTACTTTAACAGGAATATACAGAAAATTTATTAATGAAGCTTTAAATCTTGGTGGGCTTGAATATGAAACTATCTGCTCTGGCTTATCTTTTGATCAAGGATTTACCAGCATGTTGACTCACATCATGTTCAAAGATATCATTTTATAGAAAATAAGGAAAATCTATAGTTCTTTATTTGAATAAACCACAAATATATTTTAAATTACTAATTTGTGGGCTTTTCTCTCTTTGGGGTTCAAACAAAGTGACTGGAAGAGAGAAGTTTGGAGCTTGGATTTTAATACTCGCTGTCTGTTACTTATAGAATGGTCTCTTTGTTTCATGTTTATACATTTGTAATTGATTGTCAGTTTTCATTTCCTCTTTTGTGTTCCTTTTCCTCCTCTCAACTTCTTTCAATGTACTGTGTTCAGAAACAGTAGATGTTTAATGATTTGAAAATTTCCCAAACTAACTATCATGCTTTCATCTTAATATACCCCTTTATTTATTAATAAGCAAGTCAGAGTTACAGCATGAATTCCTAGAAATAGTATAAACAAAATAGTAATTTCAATTTATTGGAAAATATTTAGATTTAGTTGACTTATCAATTATGAAAATTAAATTCTTCCTTTTAGCTGGAAAATAGAGTTGTTAGTAATACCTCTGATTTTCAAAAGATCAAAGTGGGGAGTCAGATATAGTAAAGCCGGTACAGATGCTTCCAGTCATGCCCCTTGTGGGGACTGTAGAACCCAGAGATCGGACAGTGTCCTGGGGAGTGGCGGCTTGGAAGTGAGCTGAGCAGGAAGTAATGTTACAAAGAAATGCACGGGCCACTTTTTCTTTGGAATTTTTCTTATCCAAACTGCAGTCTGTATAGTCCTTACTCATCCTTCTACTACTGTAATTATCTAATTTTATTTTACTTTATGAATTTGATTATTTATATCCACTGTTGAATATGAATTTATAAATCACGTTAAGTGTCACTTTGAAATTAAGTGCTTGACTAGAAAGCATAAAGAAATTCTTAGATCTTCTAACTCGGTATAATGTAAAACGATGTTCTATGGGAAGAAAGAATTTTAGAATCTGGCTTTTATCATGCTGAGACTGGAATACCAGTATCTTAAGGATTTTTGCAACAGCTAATATTGTGAATCTGCTTAGAGATTACAAGTACAGGTTGTACAAATAGTTTTTTATTGTTGTTGTTTGTTTTTGCATTTATATAGCGCCTTTCCTTCGAGGAGCTCAAGGCATTTTTCAAAATCTGACAGTTTTCCTCACAACAACCCTGTGAGGTAGGTAGAGTGCATTACAAACAATAATAAGATGCCCGCTCACCTGTCACAGCCTTTATGATGTTCTTTGATGTTAAATAATGGAGGTGTTAGCATAAACATGAGTTTTAGAACATGTTGCAAACCTTTTAAAATAGTTTGGTCTTAGTCATAGTTGTATTTAAAAAAAATCACTTGTACTCCGTAACAGGGTAATTTTAAGAGAAATCTTTCATCAAAAGATCAGGAGTCACTCCCTGGGATTAGCTGAGCACTGAGTGCAAAACTCAGCCAGGTATGTTTCTGGTTGTTATTTATTTTCAGGTGAAGAAGGAACGAAGAGCTGTGGCTCCGGCCTGCCTCCTCCTCGGCACCTGCGCGCTGTCAGTTTGCAGTTAAACTTTCTTCAAAGGGGAAATGTGTTCACACTGTTGCCTCGTGGTTTCTTATTTTATATCTTAAATATTTGAGCATTTTTCTCTCTTTTCCTCTCTCCTTCCCTTGCGCCCCTTTTTTCTGTCCTCCTCTTCTTCCCCCTCCTCCAGTCAGCTCTTGGTTGTACATGCTGTGGAAGGGACAGTAGTACAGCTAACACAAATCTACAGCCTTTCTTCATTGCCACAGTGCTCTCTTGGGTTTGGATACAGAAAAACCAAATAGCAAGAAAACCTGGGAAGTCAGTCTCTGGAAAGCCTGGGGAACAGGTGTGTGGGAGTGTGAATTCATGTTTTTTTTCTGCCCCTTTTATTAATAATGATTGTAAATGACTTTTTTTCTTATAGCAGCCATTCATCAGAGGTGTGGGAAGAGAAAAAGAAATGTTTGGCTTATTTAAAGTAGTAAATTGTGTGTTAGAGAGGGAGGAGGGGCATATTGATTTGGAAATCCAGATACCTGTTTCTCTTGCCTCCCCTGCCACCCCACTTCACCCCCAAATACCAAATTTAAAAGTGTATAGTACCTTTCACTGTATTGCTAGAATACCAGCCAGCTCTGTTGCTGGCTGGGCTCTGGGCTGGTGTTCCATGGCAGACACAAGTCAAATCCTATTGTATGTGAAACAACATGGGAGGGCCCTCTGTGTCCCCATAAGAGCAGGCTGAGGATGGCTTCCCTTAATTAGCCCTCATGGGCCTTATTTTCTCACTTCTGGAATAAGAAGGCTGTTTTAGATAGTCTAAATTTTCTTCTAGCTTTAAGAACCATGGTGTAAGGAGAGCTTTGTGCAATGTGTATGTGAGATTTATAGCGATTGTGATGAAGGAGAGGGCAAAGGGTATCTTTTTACTGAATAATAGAAAATTATTTTAATGTTTTGTAAGGTCTTCATTGCTGATTGCCTGGTCCTAATAGTTGTAACAATCTTAGGCTATTAAGTAATTTTTATTTCTCCTTCAGTATTTGTTATACTGGGATTTGACTTGGAACTGTCAGCCTGGTGATTTTAATGTCTATTTGTAGGATTATTGAAAACAGCTGTCTCTTCCCCTTCCTGTCTGCACCCAGAACCCTTTTGTTCCTTTGCCTCACTATCATTTCACGTCTGTGTCAGCCAACTGTGACAGAAAGTTTGATGGTAAATTATATTTTAAGTGAAATGGAGGTTCTTGCTGTTGGCAAGTAACAATTTTGCTTGTGTCTGATTCAGGAAAGCAGAAACAAAAGTCAGCACAGGAAACGTGGAAAGCAGAATATAGCTAGATCAAGAATAGATTATTTTGTGTTGGTTTTAGCATATAAATTGGCATGATGAACAAAAAGTAAACAAAATTATGATAGCTGAAGGGCATTTTTATGTAGGAAGCTACAGGTTTCAGGAAGTGGAGTGCACTTAGCAAGCCCATAGGAATAGCCAGTGTCCGTTCCAGGGCTGCCACTTACTTTTCTGTTGTGTCCTGAAAGCCTTAGGTGAATTTAGTCCTGACTCTGATTTGCTTGCTAATGTGTTGAGCCATGCAATTATTTTAAATAGGGTGTCACCCCTGGTCAATTCCATGTTGGACATAACCAATATTGCTGGGTTCTTTCTGTTATTTGTAGCATTAACGTCATGGAGTATACATTGTATTTGCTCAGAGTGAAGTACTAGTATTGGCTTTTCTGTTCTCTGCATAAATCATGGGTTATCCATTTCCTGACATTTCATATTTTGTATTGTGTGAAGCAGCATGCCTTAGCTAACAGCTGCTTGGTTACCTTATCTGTCCTTCATGTGCAAACACCCCTAGTGTAGGTTTGCAGCAAGAATGGTTTAAGAAACCTGATCTGGACAAAAATCACTTGTGATGTCTACAAGTCATTTAATATTATAACTGGATGGAAGTTTGCAGACTTTCACAATTCTGCAAATCTTTAGATTATTTTGACAATCCTAGTTAAACACATTCTGAATTGTTTAAAGGACTTCCACTCATCTATCTGTCAGAGTGGGTATGCTAATAGAACGGGGAAAATAAAATTTGACGTCCATTTCTTTATATGACGTCTCTGGGATCTATTTGAACTCTCTCAGATGGTTCTGCTTAGTAGTTGTGAGAGCTTACCGAAGGTAGAGTCTGAAGCTAGTAAGTTCCTGGAGGGGCCAGCATGCATTAATGTACCGGAAGTCCTGTCAGCTGTAGTGTTATGCCTGTTCTCACCTCATGCCTTCTCCCTTCCTGTTCTTTCCTTTACTGTTGTTGCCCAGCTGATTCCCTCAGTCCTTGTTCATCTCTTTGAATGTAGCCTTAAGATGCTCTGCTTAAATTCCCTCCCACTTTGCCTGCCCTCCTTTGATTCCTTCCTGCCTATTCTGGAAAGCTGAATCCACACTCTCCTCATTGCCCATACATATCTTCACTTTAGTTATGATTTCCGTACTTGAAAGTGCCGTCATGTAGTTGTGCCGTAGTAACCTGCATTTGCCTATCACCGCTTTGCTTAGCTGTTGATGCATGTGTATGTCTTTTAGTCCTGGATAAATTTTCCATGTAAGAGCAGTGGCCTGTCTGTCACTTCTGTATTTCCCCATAACACCTCTGTGTACACAGCATTTAATAAATAAGCCTTGGTGAAATATTGTGGCTTAAAATTTTACTGAAATGTTGTGACTACATTTATGATGGCTCATCTAGAAAGAATCCTGTGTGAGTGCTTCCTTTCCTAGATCTTGTCTCAGTTTTAGCATTTTCAGGTTTATGAGGTGCACAGTTTTAATTGTTATAGTTAAGGGGCATAGTTCAAATTCTTTTACTCCTTGGCCATTAATATTTTTTTTTCTTAATGTATTCTATTTGAATAGCAGTCTGTAATTCCTTTTTTTGGTTGGATTTTTTTTTAACTTTATTTGGGAAAATAAGCCAAATGAAATTGACATGAAAAGACATTTTAAAAACATTTAAATATTGATTTTTAGAGAGAGAGAAAGCGGGAGAGAGAGAGAGAGAGAGAGAAACATTGATGTGAGAACTACCGATCAGTTGCTTTCTGCACACACCCCAATGGTGGGGGGAGGGGGGGTTGAACCCACAACCTGGGCATGTGCCCCAACTGGGAATTGAACCAGCAACCTTTCAGAATACTGAATGACATTCAACCAACAGAGCCACACCTGCCAGGGTGACATTTTAAAATTAAGATCCAAGTATCTTTAATTGTAGTACATGTTTTATTGAGAACACAACTTTAGAATGAGGGACTTGTATACTTAATTTTAATTGGACTATGATTGTATCATGTGTTATTTTATGACTAGAAATGTAATATACTGAAGTCATTACAGCTAATTTTATAATAGAAGCCTTTCATAATGCTACGCCAACTGTTTTTCCTTACATCACCATACAGCAGTTGTACTTTTGCCCTCTTTTTGCTCTCTGAATGCAGTTGTCAAAGATTAATTGACATGGTGTTGGAACATCAAGGTGTATTTCAGGACTCACTGGGGTACTTGGTTTGGGGTTTTTCTAATTGAACGTGAAGAATGTTTTGTTAGCGGCATGATTTTGTTTGCTTCGTCATTCTTCTGAAGCTCATTGCCTGGCACTTCTTCTGGCTTGACTCTGCATGTTTTTAAAAATTGTCATTCTAACCCACAATTAGATGAGCTCTATTGTAGGTCTTTCATTTTGTACCTTCAGACTGGAATAAGCCTGAATCAGAGAGCATTAACTTGAGTCATCTGGTCACTTCTCAGTTAATGAGATAACAGTGAAATAACAATATTAAAATGCATTTTGAAGACAGAGAAGTTATGTTTCATGGTGGTTAATATTACCTGAGTAGTAATTATAAAGATTATTGATTGTTCTCTTTTGTTCTGTCTCGCAGTTTTTAGGTTACTATCTCTTTCTCAGTATCTCTTAACAGTGGCCCAAGAGTGATGGCAGATAATTATAGTTATCGTTTTGATTTTGTTCAGATTTCGGCCTATTAAAGGAAGGCAAGAAGAGCTGAAGGAAGTAATTGAACGTTTTAAGAAAGATGAGCACTTGGAGAAAGCCTTCAAATGTTTGACTTCAGGCGAATGGGCGCGACACTATTTTCTCAACAAGAACAAAATGCAGGAGAAATTATTCAAGGAACATGTAGGTTTATTAATAAGATGAATACTGTTTATATGTTTAGATAAGAGTAAAGGAAACTAAAGCCTAAATTTTGGTGAAAACTTGAAATCAATTTTTTGTGAAACTATTCATATGAAGATCTAATAACATATAGGATCCTCTTTGATATCCAAAGAGAAAACTTTGTCATCTAGAAGTGAAATTTGTGGTGAGCTTTTAGAATAACATGGCCAAGCCATTAGGTACTCAAATATGTGAAATGTTAAAATATCAACAAAGTATTTTAAAAGTGCAACATTTTTATATTGTTAGTGGTTTGCTTTTATAATTCTATGAAAGTCTCGCAGGACAAACAATTTACTATAATGTTAATGTCAAATTTTTTCTTTTTCAGGTGTTCATTTACTTGAGAATGTTTGCGACTGATAGTGGATTTGAAATACTGCCTTGTAATAGATACTCATCAGAACAAAATGGAGCCAAAATAGTTGCAACAAAAGAGTGGTAACTATTGTATTAGTATAAACCCATGAAGTAATTTTATTTAAAGTTCTCTCTGAAATTACTCTTCAAGTGCTAAGGAAGTCGTGGAAGGGGTGAAACCAGAGCTCACCTAGAGGAGCCAGTGCAGGGCCAGTGCCTTGGCCCAGCCATCAGGGCCTATTGATGGCTCCTTATTCCCATCTTGGTTGTTTAGAATTAGGAGTCTGAGTTGACCAGATTCTGTGTTTGAGCTGAAGGGTGTTTTGTTCTCTTTCGGTTAAATCTGGGTTCCTTGCTCAATGCGGGGCTACTGAAAGTTAGGGTGGCCCAGGTCGGACAGACCGGCTTCCGGAGTCGGTCCTTTACCGGCTTAGAAGAAAAGTTGGGAATGACGCCTTCATGATCCTAGGAAGTCGACAGGTGGAACTTCTTAGCACCTTGCCTGCTTTAAATATATGTACCGCTGAAATACAAGTAGTAACATTGAGCTCCATCAGAGCGGCAACAGCCATATGGAAAAGGGAGAGTGTGTGATTATATCTTCTTTCCTCTGATGCTTTCTCCCCAAAGAAACATGTAGTCCCTTTCATATACCACCCTAATATATTTTATAGTAGAAATTTAGGGTCAAGTGCCTGAAATTGGAGGGCAGAGAGCATTACTCTCAGGCTCGATGGGTGTGTGTGTGTAAAGGAAACTAAACAGTATGTGTGTGTGTGTGTGTGTGCGCGCACGCGCGCGCACATCTTGTTTATCTTGGGGATGATATGCCTGCTTGCCAGCTCCCGTGGCTCCCTGTGGTGTCAATGGGTGTGGAGGTTTGAGATCTTGGTCCTAGAGCTGTGCTGTCAGTACAGTAGCCACCAACCACATGTGGCTCTTGAGCTCTTGAAATGTGGCAAGTCGGAATTGAGAAGTGCTGTAAATGTGATACACATGCCAGATTTCATATTAAATTAAAATTTTCATTACTATTTCTTAAACTGATGACCTGCTGAAATAGTATTTGGGGTATATTGGATTAAAATACATTGCTAAAAATAATTTCACAGGTTTCTACTTTCTTAAAGTGGCTGTTAGAAAATTGAAGATTCTGTGCTTGGCTTGCATTGCTGTCTGTGGGATGGCGCTGCTCTAGAGGATAGCATCCCAATTCTGGGTCCTCATACCTCATTTCCACACTCATCTATGTCTCCTTCACCCAATGTCAGCAAGTTGAATTCCGTGCAGCAGGGATTTGAGTCCTTTCTACTTGCAAAGCACTATGCTAGGTGCTGCAGGGTGTTCAGAAACATGGATAGGTACACAGTTCTGTCCTGGAGAGCCTCTGGTAGGAATAGAGCAGCTGCACAAGTAACCATGGCAAAGGTTCTGGGGCTTCCTGGTGGGGATCCAAGCGAGTCAGCTAAAATATGCAGAGCTGGGTCTTCTCAATACTTGGATATTTATTGGACAGGCTTGTTTTAATAAAAGAAGCCACCTTATTTATAATTACTAGTAATTTTTAACATCACATATTTTAAATAGGAAACGAAATGACAAAATAGAATTACTGGTGGGTTGTATTGCCGAACTTTCAGAAATTGAGGAGAACATGCTACTTAGACACGGAGAGAACGACTTCAGTGTCATGTATTCCACAAGGAAAAACTGTGCTCAGCTCTGGCTTGGCCCTGCCGCATTTATAAATCATGGTAAGCGCAATTTCTCAGGTATCGGCACTAATGTTGGGTGGTACTGCTCAAAATTAGAATGGCATAGCAATCTGAGTAAGACCTTATCTTCCTTTAAAGTAGGGTTAAGAATATGATTTCCCCTTCCCCCCCGCCCCAAGTTATTAAAGTAAATATTCCTGTAGTTTAACTGAAGACATACATTTCTATCAAAGGTTGTAAAATTACATGGAAAGCTTATTTCAGATTTCTGTAATTGTTCGTGTTTCAGATCTTATCAACAGTTAATTGACTTTATTTTTGGACATTTTTCAGATTGCAGACCTAACTGTAAGGTAAGCATAAAAACTTTTTATCTCAAGTATTTAGTTTTTGCTTTAGGTACGAGTTTCTTAATAAGTTCATTTTATTTCAGTTTGTGTCAACTGGTCGAGATACAGCATGTGTGAAGGCTCTGAGAGATATTGAACCTGGAGAAGAAATTTCTTGTTATTATGGAGATGGGTTTTTTGGAGAAAATAATGAGTTCTGCGAGTGTTACACATGTGAAAGGTAAAGTATTAAGTAAGATGTTCAGCTTTCCCATTCTTTTAACCACCTTATAATCATGGGCATGAAATCACATTATCTCCTCATTATTTAAATGCAGGAATAGTCTTTTACATTCTAGAGCATTGCAGCCAGTAGCATGCATAAACAAAATCAAAGCGTCCTTAACTTTCAAGGGCATTGGCACCTAACCCTTAAAAATATTATTACCAGCTATTCTTATGAATGGATCAGAGTTCAAATGTGCTTAAGTAGAGAATGGGAAACACCTTACACACACACACACACACACACACACCCACAGCCACAGCCACAGCCACAGCCACAGCCAGGGTGGGGTTGCCCTGATAATGGCAAGTGAAGTTCAGCCGCTGACAGTCATGTAAAAACCCTGACATAGTTTTGTGTATTATCAAGCTGTGTCCTCTGGATTTTTTTTATGCACATACTTTCATAATCCTAAGTTCTGTCACTTTGTATGGTCCATCAAGGTTTGGGAGACCTTGTGGATGCCCCAGATCTCCCCTGGCAGCAGTGATGTTCACAACACTCATTGGAGTGGCTTCTGCATGCAGGAGCTCACAGGGGCAGCTCCCCAAACTTACCTGGGTGGTGCTGCAGGAAGGCTTCGTTATGTTTGTTGAGCCCATTTCACGTACCTTGCACTGCCCTGGACACTACTGATCTTGACTCATTCAGTCCTCACAGCCATCCTGTGAGAGAGAAGTAGTAGTGTGGCCCTGTTGCAAATGCAGAACTTAAGTACTGAATCCAGACTAGCCTTGCTTCAGAGCCCTCACAGTTTCCACATCATGTTGTGTTTGCAAATATGAGCAAAGATAATTTGGTGGTGCTACTTCTCCCACTGAGAACACCCAGCCTGCAGCCACACTAGAGGCCTAATTTTCTTCTTTGGTAGCCAGACATTTCCCCTGTGTTGGGGGTGGGAGTAAAAATGTATCTTTCTATATAAAAAAACGGTGTAAGCATTGGTTGAATCTTAGACCAGTCTACAGAAAGACCCTTTAATCCATGAAGTAGTTTAATTATAGTTGAATAATGCTTTAAAATCATTTCATAGATATGACATAGCGTAGCAGTTAAGTAAGTGCCTGAGATCTGTGTCAGACTGCCTGAGTTGGAATCCTGTGACTCTGCAATTCATTAGCTATGATTTCTTGGGCAACTTAGGTGCTCTTGTACCTTAATTACCCATCTGTAAAATGGGAATAATACCAGAAGTTATTTCATAGGGTTGCTGTGAGGATTAAATTAGTTATTTCACATAAGGTATGTAGAACTGTACACAGTTAACACTTAAATATAGGTTATTTTCCCATTAGAAAAGATGCTCCAAGAAGGAAGTTTTTACCTTTTTTATTTACTCCTATATTCCCAGCATCCAGAATACTGGCACATAATAAGTACTTGAAAAGTATTTGCTGAGTGAATGATCAAATGAAGCAAATGACATGCCAGTAAGGTTTTGGAGGTTGTCCTGAAAATGTAACCACACACTCAGGGTTCCAAACCAGCCCTGAAACAGCTCTTTTACTGTTCAGAACTGCATGCATTGTCACGTTCCTTAGGTGGATTAGCTCTCTTTACTGGGCCTCCGTTTCTCACTGGTCAGATAGTGGTAATCCCACCTCCTTTCCAGGCTTAGTGTGAACAACAGAAACATGCAAGTCCTTCCGAAGTGGGAAGGCCTCATATACAGAACAGTCGACATGGCTAAATGAGACTCCTTGAGCCGTTTGACTGGAAGGGTGGCTATGAACATTCTTTAAATTCTCAGGAACGCCAGTTAGATGAGAGGACGACACTAGTCAGGGGAACTCGTTCAGTTGTTAACTGGCAGTTAGTTTATATTCGGCCTACAAATGCAAGGCAAACAAGACTGGCACAGGGCCCGGCATGAGGGTGAGAAGAGGTGGCCCAGTGAAGAGTTGAGAGTGGACAGAATCTTTAACAAGATGCTGAGGTCACAAGTGGAGTGTCCTGGGTGCATTGGATGCATGTGTCTGGGCTGTAACCATACTGACACAATAGTGATTGTAGTATGTTTCTAATAAGTACTACAAATTTCACTCTAGAAAATTTGAAGAATAAAATCTAATGAAGGACAAAATTATTGTAAAGTTTATATGAAAGTATATTTGATAGCTAAGAAAAATTTTGTGAAGTATAGTTAGGGGAAATTTATCTTAACAGATATTAAAAGTTACTATGAAATAATTGTGATCAAAACTTGATGGATATTGGCCCAGAAATGGACAAGTAGGTAAGAGGGCATGAAGAGAGTCCTGAAAGAGAGATGAGTATGATGTTGGTGCAGTATTTCCAATCCGTGATTGGGAATCTGCATATGTGGAGGGCTGAAGGAGTTATATGTGGATTTTCAACTGCAAGATAGGGTGGTGCTCCAATCCCCGAGTTGTTCAAGGGTCAGCTGTAACTCATTGTGTGTCTGGAGGAAAACCAAGCTAAGCTCCATCTCACACTATGTAAAAATCAATTCCAGCTGGATGCTGGGAATATAGGAGTAAATTAAAAAAAAGGTAAATTTTAAAATATAATGCATGCCGAAACCGGTTTGGCTCAGTGGATAGAGCGTCGGCCTGCAGACTGAAAGGTCCCAGGTTCGATTCCGGTCAAGGGCATGTACCTGGGTTGCGGGCACATCCCCGGTAGGAGATGTGCAGGAGGCAGCTGATCGATGTTTCTCTCTCATCGATGTTTCTAACTCTCTATCTCTCTCCCTTCCTCTCTGTAAAAAATAAATAAAATATATTTAAAAAATAAGTAAATAAATAAAATATAATGCAAAACTATTTTTAAAAATTTAGATTATATGTCTAACCTTGGGGAAGTAAAATTCTTTTGAAAGAAGACAAGAAATGGTGAATACAAAAATTCTTGAATGGCTGAAAGTAAGTCAAAGACAGATAATAAACTGAAGGGGGGGAAGTTACATATATAGCAAATAATACTGTAATTACAAAAAGCTGTAAAGTAAGTCACAGACAGATGATAAACTGAAGAGGGAAAAAGTACACATATAGCAAATAATATTGTAATTACAAAAAGCTCCAGTAACGTAAGCTCGTAAGGAAAAATAAATTCCACTAGAAAAGAAAGGTAAGAAAGCTGCTGCACAGAAAATGATGGCTACAAACAAAGCAATTAAAACAATTAGGTATTCATTTTCACTATCAGGTGGCAAAATTTAAGGAGTGCACTGTATACTGCTGGTGAGGACTTAGAGAAACAGGCAGGTGTTACTAGGGCTGTGAATTGCTGTAATCTTTTGGGAAAGGAATCTGGCAATATGTGTCAAAAAATAAGTGCATCCATTTACCTGGCAGTCGGTCCCTATGGAAATATGAGCACCAGTTAGTAAGGATTTGGTGTCAAGAGCAGTATAGCAGCTGTATTCATGGTGGCAAACAAAAACAAAATCACCCATAGGTTTTACTATCACTGATGGGGCGTTATTGAATAAATTATGGGATGTTTATGTAAAAAGTACAACTTTTGTAACATATGTTCAATACCAGTGTATTTGTGCATGGTTGTTTAGTGAATGTATGGCATTACCCTGCTGGTTTTGTTTGCCTGGAGGGCTCCCACAGTGTATGGAGGTGTGTAGACCGTGGGAAAGGAGTGAAGCTGGTGTGCTGGCAGGTGGTTAGCACTGGACCTCGGGCCTCTGGACTCCAGGGGTTAGGAATACTACCAACTTCTGCTTTATGTATATTTATATCCTAGGATTGTTTGGCTTGTTGCAACAAGCATAAGCATGTATTACTTTCCTAAGTTAAAAAGAAAAAGGGAGGGTAGTGGAGAAGCAGATGAAGAGTAGAGCTTTCTTTAAATGTGGCCCATCTTTCTAGAAATGAACCAGAAATGTTGCATGTTATGGTAAAAAGGCATGGAATATCTAAAAATAATTTATTACTTTCTTTGTCCATAGGAAATGAAATGGCCTTTGGGATTTATGGATTTACTGTCTGAATATATTTTGGGGTGGGGTGGAGTGTAACTGGTTGCCTGCCTCAGTGAGAATTTCTAATGCACCTTTTGAAAAAAGGAATTGAGGCAGTCCCACAATAAGTTTTTTGTTGTTTTTACAAAAACCTTAATAAAAAGAGAATTCCATATCCATTCTGTGAAGATGAAGAAAGCAAAAATACTTATATTACTTAACAAAAATAGATTCGGCATTAGGTTTGGGTCTGTGCTCCCTAGCATGAAAAGGTAAGAAGAGGGTGGGGAGAGAAAAGAAAACTGTTGTCCTTTAGCAAAAAGTGAAACGCTCTGATTCCTTGGGGGAGGAAATCCTGCAAGATCAGTTCCAGGGGATCTCAGTGGGGCCAGGTCGCTTTCAGAGGAGGGCAGTTAGGATTTTGTCACAGGTCAGAAGCTGTTGTTACATGGCTTTTCCTTAATAAGCGAAGGCCAGTGAAGGGTCAACCAGTGAAGGCAGTTCAAGCCAGAGAGACTTAATCACTTCTTAAATGCAATAGGAGTGCTTTTTAAAAACCTCTTAACATATAATTTACTTACTCTTTTGAATAGAGCTGAGTAGGAATTTTCCTTTATACGCTGAATAAAGCAAAGCTTTGCAAAACTACATCCTTTAGGAAGTCTAAGAACTCTCTTAGTAAGTACGCTCACTTCAGAAAAATTACGTCAATACAAATAGTTAGAGCAGGTTAGAAATTGTTCTTATCCTGTGGGAAAAGCAAGTTTTTAGTGTCTTATTTAGTAAGATTTTTATAGCTTAATTGTGGTTGTTTATGTTTAATTCACTAACTTTAAAGAATCATTTAATAGTTTTTATAGTTCAGAAAATGAGCCTTGCATTAATACAGCCTAGCCTTCTTAGACAGAATTTCAGGTAGAATGTGTATCTAACATTCAGTTCTATCTAAGTAATGCCTCATTTATGGAAATTCTCTGGTTTCGTTTTTTCATTTCCTAATTCTCAATATTCAGTGATGTAGTGTTAAATTGTGCAGAACAAAGCTAGAATATAATTAACAGGTGCGTTATTTAAGCTACAATTTAGACCTAACTTTTGCACCAACCAGTTTTGAAATTGAAGAATTAGTTATCTACACATGAAATTCTATAAGGTTCAATGGTTTCTCATGGGCAGTTAATAATTGACAATAGTCATAAAAATTTGTCTTGTGATTTTAAGTTTAGAGTTTTTTGTTGATTTTATATACATACTTAATTCCTTTTGAGAGTCCTAGACTTGGTAAATTTCCAGTGATGGTTGAGGCATCAGTTCATCACATCTGTAGATCTGATGCGTCCCAGAGCCCTCGGCAGCCGACCTTATGGTTAGTAAGTACGCTGTTTGTTTGACGTGTGCTGTTTTCTCTTTCAGACGAGGAACTGGTGCTTTTAAATCCAGAGTGGGACTGCCTGCGCCTGCTCCTGTTATCAATAGCAAATATGGACTCAGAGAAACAGATAAACGTTTAAATAGGCTTAAAAAGTTAGGTGACAGCAGCAAAAATTCAGACAGTCAATCTGTCAGCTCTAACACTGATGCAGATACCACTCAGGAAAAACACAATGCAAGTAAGTAAGGGAGATTTGATAAGCATCTTTTCTTAAGTGTTTTCACACAATTTGTTTTCTAAAGTGTGTTTCAGTAGTTTTGATCTTTTACATATTGAGAGAAACCCTGGGACTCGTGCACTCCAGCAGCATCGCAGGATTCTAGAAATGGTTTGCCACAGAAGCAGGCTGTGTTGGCCTCCAGAGTCAGTGCACTCGTCTAGACTGACCTGTCTGCTTTCCTTGAATACTGGTAACTGGATATTCTTCAGCCAGTGTTCCAGGGTCATCATATATGTATGAACGAAACATTTTCCAGGTGTTAGTTTCACCATAATTATATCATTATGTCTTCTGAGAAGACAGGACGGGGTGGAATCTGACAGGCACATACGTGTTTCTGTGCCTAGCCAGCCTGTTAGGGTGGAGGATGGACTTGGGGAGGTGATAGCTTCTGGCTTCAAGGTTTCCACCTTTTTACTACTTACCAAATTTACTAAGTTATCAGTTACCGACTCGTAATTGTGATAAAGGAACATTTTAGATGTCACTGTGCTATGACGTATTAGCCACTAACAGAAGTAGCAAGATGAAAGGAGAAAGAAGCAAGCTTCAAGAGACCAGGTCAGGGAGGGGACGCAAGACCTAATGGAACTGGAAAAAGAGGGAATGAAGAATAAAGAGAAAAGAAAGAGAAGAAAGCCAAAACGAACAGAAGAAAACACATCATCTTGATGGAGCTTTGAAGTCCTGGGACTATTCTGATTGTGGCTGCATTTCACCTCGGTGATGCCAGTTTCCTCCGGCTCCACTCAAATAGTAGGCTCCTCCCTCAGTCCAACTGATCTGACAGGCATTGAGTTCGCACGTTTTGGCGTGGTGATCCCCTAAGTATGCCAGTTTCGGCACTGAATGTTCACAGATGCTTCTAGTGCCTGATGCCTTCTGAGGTCTCGTTATTTCAGGCTCCTTTCCCTGTTTTCACACCCAGCACTGGTGCTCCCCTCCTGTACAGAAAATCCCAAAGAAAGGGGAAGAATCCCACAGTGGCAAAGCTCAATGCCATGAATTCCCAAATCTACGCTGCTGGGAATCGGAGGCCACACGTGACCTCTTTAGTGTAAAGTTATCCTGTGTACCGTCCGGTTTATAAAAATGTCCAACGTGAACAAAAGAGCAGTTAGTCTGTCACTCACTGTGGACTATTGGTTCTAATAATAAATACAGCACAATCACTGTTTGTTTTCCGAGTCTGGTTCCTTGTGAGACGGGAGACTTGTGAGACCTATATGTGGAGACGGCCACCGTGCTGTCCACATTGATTGGCTCTTGACATTCGTGGGGGTGGTTTGTGTTTTTATTCATTAACTGTATTTCTAATGCATAGATTCTGAACTCAGTACAGCACTTAGTTTAAAAGATTGGCATACAAATATTTTTGGAAGGTTTTGAGTATATTACTAAGTGACCATCAGGGAATATTTATTAATAAACCAAATACTTACTAAAAGCCTGGTAGTAGTTGAAGAGATACATATATGTAGGAGACTCAGCCCTTGGGGAGCTTATGCCTAGTTCCCGACAGGACAGGTGCACAAGTAACAACGCAGAGCCACTCTCCTAAGTTGAGAGGTAATAGTAATCCCTCTGAGCTGTAATCAGCATTACAGAACGGGGGCTCACTTCCCGGTGGCTGCGGATGTGGGGGCGCTGACTTCATTCAGCTACTTTCTGCAGAATGACTGACTGACTGGTACAGAGTTCATGTGCTAACTGAGGGTCGTGTGGTGGGCGTGCTCTGTGCTCTAAAGGAGTTACAGGCTTACTCCAGTCACCTCCTCGGCCAGCATACACTCCGCCATGTTCACGCAGTATTTTCCCGAACTCTTCCATGCATTCCATGCATTCTTTTAGGCTGTGTTTCTTTTGGTGCTTGTGTCTTAAACACAGCCTCCTAGCCGTGTGAGAGGAAGACTTGTTAAGAACACAGCTGGTAGCAAAGCCAGAGTGCCTGAGCCTTTCTCCTGAGGGCGGTGGTATCCATTGGGTCAGAGTGCACTCTCTGTGCATAGCTGCCCACTTTGATTCTGCAGCTTGTCTGGGATTTAGTGGCTGATGGAGGAGCTGCTTTCCCTGAGCAGTGTGTATATTCTTAAACATTTCTGCCTAGTGGGAAGAAAAATTATTTCTTTCTTCCACACAGATCCTTTTATAAAAAGTTTTTTTTTAAATATATTTTATTGATTTTTTACAGAGAGAAAGGGAGAGAGATAGAGAGTTAGAAACATCGATGAGAGAGAACCATCGATCAGCTGCCTCCTGCACATCCCCCGCCGGAGATGTGCACGCAACCCAGGCACATGCCCTTGACCGGAATCGAACCCGGGACCCTTCAGTCCGCAGGCCGACGCTCTATCCACTGAGCCAAACCGGTTTCGGCCCTTTTTTAAAAAGTTTTTTAATCCTCATCTGAGGATATGTTTAATTTTCATTGACTTTACAGAGAGAGGAAGGGAGGGAGGAGAGAGAAACATTGAGATGAGGGAGAAACATCAATCCGTAGCCTCCCATGCACACCCTGACATGGGATCGAACCTGAAACCCAGGTATGTGCCCTGATCGGAATCAAACCCACAACCTTTTGGTATGTGAGGTGATGCTCCAAACAAATGAGCCATCTACCAGGGCCAGACCCTGTTTTGAAAGGTGTCTTGGGAGCCACAACCTGTTTGCTTTAGCATCTACAGAACGGAAACAAATGCTTTTTTTTTTTTTAAGTATTTTTTAAAATATGTTTTTAATGATTTCAGAGGGAGATAATTAGAAACATCAATGATGGAAGAGAATCATAGATCAGTTGCCTCCTGCATGTTCTCTACTGGGGATCAAGCCCACGACCTGGGCATGTGCCCTGACTGAGAATCAAATTGTGACCTCCCGATTCATGGGTCAACACAACCACTGACCCAAACCAACCAGGCGAGAAATCCTTTTCACAGATTCAGTTCGCATGCCTGAATTGTGCCGTTATTGGAAGATTCTGGGTTTTTAGGTCCTTGTGCCTGAATGGCTGGGCCATGCCCCATAATCAGCACTGTGATATGGAATGTGTGTCATTGCAAATGCCTCAGGTCGGTGCAGAACCCAGAAGACTTGGCCAGTGGAGTAAGCTTATCTTAACTAAGGATCGCCTATCCTGGAGGTAGGGGATGTGTCACTGTTGCTCTCTCTCCTGTCACAGACAGCACTCCTTTCTGCCGAGCCCGCAGGCCCGGTCCAGGCAGTCGCTGCCAGTCTGTGTTGGTCACGTAAGATGGAGGATGCTGGCTCCTCAAGTTCTGAAGGTGTTGGCTGTGTGTGGTCCTCGTGTCACCTCGGTTCGTGTTAACTGTGCTCCTGGGGTTTCTCCAGCACAGAGCGAGGACGCAGCCCTGGCACTCGGGGAGCTTTGGGGTCCTTGTGCTGCTCTTGTATCTGCCTGCGATTCTTGATGCCCAGGCAGGGCTGCCTTATGATTTTGAGGACACCCTGAAATGACTCGGAGGGCCGTGTGTGGCTTCTTTACCCATGAGCTGGGACTGGCTTACCTTAGAGGCAGTGCTGAACCAGTTGGCATCTGAAACCATATTCCTCGGTTCAAATCCCATCCCTGCCACTCTGCAGATGGACGATCTGAGGCACATTAGTCCATGTGAGCTTGGTTTCATGTAGTGTAACAGCTCTTACTCCAAAAAATGCTTATTAGCATTGAGATCATACTAAGGTGGCCATTTGCCCAGCACCTGCTCTATAATAATTGTTAAGAATGTGTGTTATCACCTAAAGTTACTGTTAGGTTATGCATTTGAGGTTTGTCCTAGCCGGCAGGGAAGAGTCACACCTGGCGTGTGTGCTGGTGCCAGGGCCACCACAGGCACCCCTCTCCTACGTCAGAATCCTCCGTCTCTGATGGGCTTTGATTAGTTTGCCACTGGGGCCACCGTCTTCCTCCCTTACCTCCTGTTGCTGATGTTCTCACAGCGCCCAAGCATAGTGGGACCCTTTGGGGACAGTGAAGAGCCCTTGACACTTGCTACCCTTCGGTCTTAGCCACTTTCCTCACACTTCTGCCCAGCTTGCTTATGTCCTTTTTGAACTTTGACTTGGTAAGCACACTTTTAGTTGGACTTTTGATGAGATCATGCCTTTTGAGACAAAATGAGAATACACTATAAATACATAAACATAAGGGAAACAAGTTGTAGCATCAAGTCGTCTATTTTGAGCTGTTGAGAACAAACACCCAAGTGCTTTGTGGTCAGCTAACAGTGATTCCATGGGAAGGAGTGGTGTAAGAGGAGAGGCATGCTCCAGAATCAACATAAAATGAGATTCGTCTAATGGCTTAAAATAAGTGTCCAAGTAAGGGAGCTCTGGTGTTGTGGGACACGTAGCAAGAGTACCCTGTCCTATGTAGAAAGTCTGGACAGGCTCCCTGGAAAAGTGTTTCCTACGCTGAACTTTAAAGAGGGTGAGAAGTTGGCCAAGTGAAGCACTTGGGACTTTTATTTTAAAAATGTAATAAGGGGATGAGTGTAGGACTTGAATAAGTGAAGTTTATCATGGGTGGAATTGAAGGTAGGAAGAAAGGATGTGAGCATAACTTAAAATTTTAGATTTGGTTCTTAGAGCATTAGGTTATTGAAAGGTTTAAATCCCGGAAGTGACATGGGTACCAGGAAGATCATTTTGTCTACATGATGGAGGATGGGGTGTGGGAAGCAGTAGGAGAGACACAAAAAGTGGTGGAAGCTGTTGGTCCTCCTTCAGGCAGGAGGTTGTGGCATTGACAATGGAGAGAGGTAAACACTCCAGTGACATTGCAGGAACGGACTCCACGGGACCTGGAGGCCGATTGGGTGAGGCAGTTAGGGACAGCAAACGTCAGGAATGGCCTCCCAGTTTCTGGGGTGATTGGCCAAGAGAACTGAGGCGGAGAAGCAGCCATGAGACTTAAAGGCGAGTTCAGTTTAAGCATGTTCACCAAGGGGCTCCGCGGCAGCCTCGGGAGATCCGGATGCCAGCGGGTATTTGGTGGTACGGCCTGTGATTCAGGAGAGAATCAGGTGAGAGAAAGTGGCTCAGGAAGGGGGTGGGTGCTTATCACCAGGAGACTGTTTTGTCAAGGGCCTAGGACAGCAGAGGCCTGAGGAACAGTGTCGGTGTGTGCAGGTAGAGGGAGAGTGCTCTTGGGGACAGCAGAGGGGAGGGGGTTTTCCAGGAGAAGGTATGGTCAGCAATATCACATTCTGCAAAGGAAGGGAAGGGCGGAAAGTGCTCACTGGGTTTCACGACCTGGAGGTGGTCAGAGATTGGCCAGGGCGCTCATGCGAGGGACAGGCTGGATCCTGATTTCAGGGGGATCGCTGTGGAGAATGCAACGTATACGTGATTCTAGTTACAGCTGATGGCAGGTGCGAAATGAGGAAAAGGGAACAATAGGCGGAGGACCACTAAGCTTGGTCATAGGATGGTCCTTGAAGAGTCAAGCTGGGCAGAGGACCACATAGCCAACTCTGAGAAAGCTGAGCACAGAACACTGGTGTTGACTTACATCAGTAAACACATCAAGCCTGGCTAGTGTGGCTCAGTGGTTGAGCATTGACCTATGAACCAGGAGGTCATGGTTTAATTCTCGGTCAGGGCACACGCCTGGTTTGAGGGCTCAATCCCCAGCAAGCAGGAAACAGCTGATTGATGATTCTCTCTCATCATTGATATTTTTTCTCTCTCCCTCTGCCTTCCTCTCTGAAATCAATAAAAATACATTTTAAAAAATAAGTATATAAGTACCTCTACCAGTTCCACCTTAAAGGAAGCCTTGAAAGCAGAAATTCTTTAGCCAAAGAATTCCCCAAATATCCTCATATTTTAAAAATTATTTCTAGCAAGTTCTGTGTAATTCCAGTTCGTATATACATTCTCCAAAATACTACTGTTCTTCAAGAATAGTGGGCCCCGTTTCTGGGAGTTTTGCTGGTTAGGATACCTCACTCCATTTAGGAGCTAGGCTTGAGTACAGAGCTTGGAATGCTTGTTACTCATTCTTGTTCTCCATAAAAACTAACTAATGGTGACTTACTTGCTCAACCAAGCAGAAGGAACAGCAGTCGCCCTGGCAACCTTCGGGCATGTAGTAAGGGACCATCTTTGTCGGCAGTGTGCTGGGCTTACCCACATTCCTTGTCTTCTATTTCCTTGTTTTCAGATGAGAGATGGGGATTGTTGGGTATTCTCAGCTTCTCTGTGAATAATTTAAAAGGGGCATTTTGTGGGGGATGAGGTTTTCAGGTGGGGAGTGTGGGGAGCTGAGAAGCTGACTCATGTAAGACACTGTGTAGCTCCAAAGGTAAATGCAAAGGAGAACAGATGGCAGCTGGTCAGTGGCACGGTCAGAGGTTCTCGGGGCGCAGCTTAAACTTGAGTCACATGTAAGCCTTTTGTGAAGCCCTTCAGTTGCCACCTTAGTTCCCAGTAGGATCATCCCAGCCTTTCTGTGTCCTTGTCCAGAGGAAGGAAGTTGGAGCCCCCTTGTCTGAGTAATTCTGGCAGCACGCTCCTTCCCTCTCAGTGTGACTGTGGGCAACGAGCAGGACGGGAGGGAAGGGGCCAGGTGAGCTCTGCTGACCTCCCCGCGCCTCAGGGAGAGGTTTTAGATAGGCAGTTCTTTGGGGCGGTTGTCGGGGATACAACGTGGTTCCTCGGATCTCTTGAAACCATTGGAATAGAATTTGTCTCTGAGCCCATTTGCAATATATTTCCTGAGTTAATGAGTAGTTTGGATTTTAGAAACCTATTTAAAATGATGATTTTAAGAATTTGTGAAAGGAAATAAAACTATGATTTTTTTTCTTAGGTCCACTTTAAACCTTTTACTTGGCAAAATACTAAATCAGGAAAAGAAATACTTATTGTGGGCCAGTATCATGATAGGTTAAGGACAAACATAGAGTGAAATCTAGGTACTTGGTAGTAGAAACTCTTCAAACACCCAGTTCAAATGTGAATAGATGCTCCATGAATCAGAGGCTGAAATTAGAAAGAGAATGTGAAGGAAAAGTGCGGGGAGCTTATGTGCAGGCAGAAACCTGAGGGGTCTGTCCGCCATGTGCCTGTGTAAGTGAACGCCACATGGCCGAGAGTCTGGTTTTGGATACTGTCTTGTGTTATCAAGGCTACTTTTCATCTTTTTTCTTTTTTCTTTTTAACTTTGCAGCTTCTAGCCGAAAATCTTCAGTTGGTGTGAAAAAGACCAGCAAGAGCAGAACATTAACACGGCAATCTATGTCAAGAATTCCAGCTTCTTCCAACTCTACCTCATCTAAGCTAACTCATATTAATAATTCCAGGGTACCAAAGAAACTGAAAAAGCCTGCAAAGCCTTTACTTTCGAAGGTAAAATTAAGAAATCATTGCAAACGGCCGGAGCAGAAGAGTGCTTCACGAAACCTCGAGATGGGAAACTTAGTCCTTAAAGAGCCTAAAGTAGTTCTATATAAAAATTTGCCCATTAAAAAAGATCAGGAGCCAGAGGGACCAACACCAGCCACAGTGGCTAGTGGGTGCTTAACCAGACATGCGGCAAGAGAGCACAAACAGAATTCGGGGCGAGGGGCCCCTTCGCCGGGGGAGGGCACCCCCAGCACCTACACAACCAGGCGATCTGCACGGACGAGAATGATTTTGAAGGAGCCCTCTGACATCAAGCTTGAACCAAATACGTCGGACGACTATGAAAGCAGCCTGACTGAGCCTTGCCCAGAGAGTGGTGAGCTACCGCCTCCTGCGACGCAGGAAGAAGAACGGGTGCATGACACTGCACACAACGGGGAGGCCAGGTGTCCCAGGAGTGACAGCAGCCTTGCAAAAAAGAAGTCACGGCAAGGGAAACTTGTGAGACAGTTGGCAAAGGCGGGGGAGTCCACCCCGGAGCACAGTCCCCCTGGGAAAGCCGGTGTGGTACCCAGCGTGCTGGGGTCCCTCCCCGATCAGGGTGAGCACAGCGGCTCAGAGGGGCTGCCCGGGAGCTACATGGACTGGGCCCCTTCGCCTGTTGATGGTTCGGTGGTGACATCAGATAGCTTCAAAACAAAAGACGGCTTCAGGACTGCAAAGAGTAAAAAGAAGAGGCGAATCACAAGGTATGACGCACAGTTAATCCTGGAGAATAACTCTGGGATCCCCAAATTGACTCTTCGCAGGCGTCACGATAGCAGCAGCAAGACAAACAATCCAGAGAATGATGGGATGAATTCTTCCAAAATAAGCATCAAGTTAAGTAAAGACCATGAAAATGATAATAATCTCTACGTAGCAAAGCTTAATAACGGATTTAACTCAGGACCGGGCAGCAGTGCCACAAAATTAAAAATCCAGCTCAAACGGGACGAGGAGGGTCGGGGGCCCTGTGTAGAGGGGCGTCACGAGAACGGGATGTGCTGCGGTGACCCGCTTTCTCTCCTGGAGTCGCAGATGGACGTCGATGACTACAGCCAGTACGAGGAAGACAGTACAGATGACTCCTCCTCCTCTGAGGGGGACGGAGAGGAGGATGATTACGACGACGACTTTGAAGATGACTTTATTCCCCTCCCTCCAGCCAAGCGACTGAGGCTAATAGTTGGGAAAGACTCAATAGATATTGACATTTCTTCCAGGAGAAGAGAAGATCAGTCTTTGAGGCTTAACGCATAAGCTCTGGGTCTCAATTTGACCTGGGATAAACTACTTACAAATAAAAAATTCCAGTGTATTATTCCTCAACTGAAACATTTTAGTGGCAGCACTTCTCTCATTTCTTCACTTACCGGCATAACACGTAGAAAGTGTACAGCGTACTGACTTACCTGAAGCCTGATTTGTGCACATTTTTATTGTACTTTTTGAATAGCCTCCTTACGTGCAATTCCGAGTTAGAGGGAGAGCCCTGTTGTAAAGTAAAGGCTCAGCAAACTACAGTGATAGCAACTTTCCACACGACGTTGAAAACAATAATGTGGCTACACAATTTTTTTAACTTGTAAGAGCATCAACTGGCTCTTTAATATGTGACTAAATAATAACTTAAACCAATCCTAGTAGCAGCATATTAAGGTTTTCTAGTCCATGCTAATATCACCAGCAATGATCTTTGGCTTTTTGGTTTATTTGCTAGATGTTCCCCCCTTGGAGTTTGATCAGTTCCACACTGTTTGCTGGCCAGGTGTACTGTGTGTGGCCTTGGTTAAATAGCAGACCATCAGTTGGGAGTCAAATTGGTTTATTATTATTATTTTTTTTTTAAAAAGTACAATCCCATGCGTGACAGCCAACTTTTCAGTACATTATATGTACGAGGGTAGCAGTGTGCAGGATGAGTTTCGATACAGCGTATTTATTGCTTGTCATGTAAATTAAAGACCTTGTATTTAACACTTTTCAATACTTTTAGATAAAATTGTTCTTTGCAAGAATGATTGGTGCTTATTTTTTCAAAAATTTGCTGTGAACAATGTGATGACAACAAGCAACATTTAATGAACTACAGCTATCTTAATTTGGGTCTTCAAGTTTTCTGTTGCACTTGTAAAATGCTACAAGGAATATTAAAAAACTCTATTCACTTTAACTTATAATAGTTTATGAAATAAAAACATGAGTCACAGCTTTTGTTCTGTGGTAACCTATAAAAATGTTTGTCTTTGAAATTCAATGTAAAGAACTGAAAACAATGTATATGTTGTAAATATTTGTGTGTTGTGAGAAATTTTTGTCATAAGAAATTAAAAGAACTTACCAGGAAGGTTTTTAAGTTTAGAAATATCCATGCCAATAAAATAGGAAATTATAAATACATAGTTTTAAGCACTGCATCAGTGGGAGTTCTTGACTTATGTTAGTTTATGTATGAAAATGTCAAAAAAGAGTTTTTGACTATATTATCAGTTAGACAAAAAGAAGAGTCAGATTTAATTTGTTTTTGAAGCACTTTGAAAATATAAATTAATTTTAAGTAAGTTAATGAACGAAATTTTCCTACTTTATGTTCAGTACCCGTCTTTGCTTTTTCTGATTGTTTTACAAATCATTGGACAGAGAATTGGGGAATGTGAACCCGCAGCAGGCGCTGAGCCAGCGGGCCTCTGTTCCCGGGAAGCGTGTGCGTATACTCTCCGACACACAGTGCTCCCATGTACCAAGTCCAGGGATCCATAGTGTCTGGAAAGGGAGCCCCAGTTTTAAATGTTGAAGGAATCTGCAGGTAATGGAATCCCTTGGAGAAAAAAACCTCTGTGCTCACTGTCATTCCTAATTGATTCCCCCAGTTCCCAGATTCTGGGAAATTCAGTTCCTTAACACTATTGCCAGTAGGATCCAAGTAGAAATTAATAATATCCATAAAGGTTTTTTAAATGTAGCGGTGTTTTTTCCTTCCTTCCTTCCCAAGGCATGACTTCTGTCGTCTCGTGTCGCCCCCTGTGTGTGACGGTGCAGTTCAGCCCCCAGGTAGCGATGTGGCGCGTGTGGCTCAGCCTGCGTGCCTCCTGTGCCAGCAGGGCGGGCCCTGGGGCCTGTCCCAAGGCCCTCAGAGCACTTGACAGACCAGTCCGACCCTCACGGTGTCCCTGTGTAGACGCAGGACCCCCGCCAGGAGGGTAGGTCCGGCCGAGACCCCGTGTGGAAAGCCCAGCAGGCAGAAGGTCGCCTCATCCCACCTCCGATTGGCCTGTTTTGTAGACAGTCATAGAACACATCTTGAACTGTTTCTTGGAATACCAACAATAGCCCTTACAGGAATGTCAACCTTAAGGGAAAAGTAATAAAATGTCATATTGCCCACTTTTCTCCATTTTTAAGCTTCTTTTCAGTAACTTATTTATGATGTTAGTTTTAACTGTATGGCAGCCTGGTCCTTTGAGGCTGGCCTTCCCAGGGTCTGAGCAGTGACACCTGGTAGCCGTCACTGTCTCAGGAGTCCGTGTGCCCCAGCCTGGCCGTCACTGCTGACGCTTTCCGAGGAGCTGGTGTTCCGTTGTTATGTTGTCCTGGCTCTGCCGTGTGGGATGGTGAAACCCACACTCCAGTGACCGCTTGGAAGAGGTCAATAAAACTTTCATTCAGTATAACTCTTAGCTTGAGCTTATGCAATGACTGGTAAAGACTTTTGCATTGTAAGAATTAGGAAATGATCATAGAAATATATGTATTCAATTTTCAATCATTTTTCAAACTACTGTTTTAAATTGTTTTGCTGAGTTGTAATACTTTTGAGATACAATGTATTCCTTGTACTGAAAGAATGAAAAAAGGACTTTTTCAGCATTTGAGGTAAGTTCTTTAACGTTTCATTAAAAACATTTTTTACAAATATTTTGTACATGCACTTGCAGTATTGAGGTTAATCATTTTAATAAATTCGGAAATTAAAACAATTTGGCCGGTGTTCGCTGCATCCGAGAAGGGGAGATCCAGGTGCTTTTCTCCCACGAGGATTTCATCTCAAGTAGAAGTTGTTAATTCAGCGTTCCTAAAGCCTTTTCAGTCTCCGAGTGTTGAGTTCTCAGAGCCCTGATCTCCTTTGCTTCTGGTGAAGAAGACCTTTTGGCCACTCAGTTTAAAAGTCAGTGTTTGAGCATTGACCTATGAAACAAGAGGTCACAGTTAGATTCCCAGTCAGGGCACATTCTTGGGTTGTAGGCAGGATCCCCAGTGGGAGGTGTGCAGGAGGCAGCCTATCAGTGATGCTCTCTCATTGATTTTTCTATCTTCCCTCTCCTCTCTGAAATCAATTATATATATAAAAGCCTAAGCCAGTGATTCCCAAAGTGGGCGCTATGGCCCCCTGGTGGGCGCTGCAGCGATCCAGGGGGGCGGTGATGGCCACAGGTGCATTTGTTTTAACTTTTTTTGTATTACCTTTCTATTCTGAGTTCAATAAATAGTTTCATTATTTCAAACTTCAATGTTTCTAATTTACACCTTTCTTTACTATATTTTATGAAAAAGGTAGAAACATTAATACATATATCTTTCTGTTTAATTGCTATTAAAATTGTAAAAAAATTAATTTCCAGGGGGCGCTGAGTAATATTTTTTCTGGAAAGGGGGCGGTAGGCCAAATAAATTTGGGAACCACTGGCCTAAGCGATCAACCCACTGGTCGCTATGACGCACACTGACCACCAGGGGGAAGATACTCAATTCGGGAGCTGCCCCCTGGTGGTCAGTGCACTCCCACAGTGGGAGTGCTGCTCAGCTGACCAAGGGGCACCAGATGCCAGGCTCACTACCAAGCAGTGGCAGTGGCAGGGGCAGCAGGGCCAGGATGAGCGGGAGCAGCGCCGGGCCGGCTCAGACTCCTGCTTGGCTGCCTGCCGCTTTAGGCACTACTACATCCCCTGGGGGCTGTCAGCTGGCCTGTGGGGATCGGTTGAAACCAGCAGCCCCACATCCCCCCAGGGGTCCAGGATTGTGAGAGGGCACAGGCCAGGCTGAGGGCCTCTAGTGTGTGTGTGTGTGTGTAAGAAAAATAAGGGGGGAGGAGCACTTGTTCTCTATGGGGAGGCTTTAAAGGACATACCCTCTTAGCCCTCGCGTCCATTTGCAACCCAGTTTTCAATGGTTCCTATCAGTTGGGTGTTGTCTCACTGGATTGAACAGAACTAGTGTGAGTCCGTCCTCCCAGATCAGCAAAACCTGGTTGAAAGGAAATAAGGACTGGCTTAGGAGTCAGGAAACCCGAGTTTGCCCAGCTCTGCAACGTCTGGGTGACCCTGGGCAGGCTGCTAATCCAGATCTCTCTCTAGCACCTGGAAGTCGGTGGGGACGCCTGGTGCCATGGCCAGTCCAGCTTCAGGTCGAGCTGCCAGCTCTCTCTGAGGTGGTGAGGGTAGTGGTGCCGAACAGAATGGAAGCCCTGACCCTGACTGAAATATCCACCCTGACGGGCCCCCAGGGTGAAAGAGCTCCCGGTGGCATGCCCATCTTCAGTCTCAGGCACCCTTTCCAATAACCCCCTGCCGCTCGCTGGTCCCGGGCCACCAGAGCCCCTGCAGATTTCCATTTCTCAGGTGCCAGGGCTCTTGTCACCGCGTGTCGTGTCATTGCATTTGATGCAGACACCAGTGGCACTCAGAGCAAGGTGCAGCAAGCTGCCGACCTCGGCACTCGGAGCTCCAGGGTTATGGTAAGCCTGACCCTAGCATGCAGGGCGAGGTGGGGGGGAGGCGGGGGGTTAGGCCTCCAGCCTTCTTCCCCATATCATTAGCGCTTGGGCGTGGTGGTTGCTAATGCCCAGTGAAAAACCAGGTTTGGATTCTTCAGGAAGGAGCAGGTGTGTGAGTGGGTCTGCCACCCAGGCTGCCTCCGCCTCCCTCCTGAGGCGGGGCCACTCCAGTCCTCCCAGGACACCGAGCGTGAGCTCATGGACAGCTGGGCAGCCTCCCTGGGAACTGCCGTCTCATGGCTATGGCTGTGGTAACGTTCTCTTACAAAGTCGGTGTGACCCGGCAGGTGTGGTTCAGTGGCCGAGCGTCCACCCAGAAACCAGGAGGTCACCGTTGGATTCCCAGCTGGGGCACATGCTGGGTTGCAGGCTCGATCCCCAGAGGGGGGAGCGTGTAGGAGGCAGTCTATCGATGTTTCTCTCTCATCAATGTTTCTCTCCCTTTCCCTTCCTGTCTCTCTAAACTCAAAACGTATTTTTAAAAAAATAAATAAAAAGAAAGCTGCTTACAAACCTTAAGTAAAAGTCTGTGTTACTAGATCCGATACTGTCATATTGTGTTTTCTGCTAAGATGCAGTAGACGGTGACTTCAGTGCTTGCGGGGCGGACCATCCTATTGAGTCTGCTCTGCTAAGGGGGGGAGCGCTTGCTGGGGCCGCTCAGGCCCCTGGGGCTGGCAGATGGGTTTCCCAGTCTGACCCGAGCAGCAGGAGTCAAGGGAGTAGAGTTGCATTTCTTTAATATGCGTTGAACACATAACGTGTTACATGTTTTGGAGGGGGAGGCAAGATTTGAGAGCCTTCCTTGTGGGGTGTGATTAAAGCCACCCACGTCTGCATGTGAAATAGCCTAGGGACAGAGAACTGAGAGCCCTGTCCGCACAGGCCTGGACCAGGCATGGGCGCAGGTGCCATGGGCGCACTGGCGGAGGCAGAGTGGTTGAGAGGGTGGGAAGAGGGGAGGTTTGGCTGTGAGGGAGGAGAGGATGACAGTGGGAGGGGAGAGCGGGGAAGGAGGGGATTCACTGTTAATGAAGGACAAGCAGATCAGGCTGGAGAGGGAAGCTTCCCTGGGGATGAGTTCCAGGAAGGGGAGGGGAGGATTTATTGAGTCTGGGGGAGGACGTGTTAAGCAAAGTGCTGAGGTCCCAGAAAACGCCAGTGTGTTTATGGATTCCACATAACCCAAGGACTGGCTGTGGAGACACGGGTGCACCAGGGGCTGCCGGCCGGTGCTATTGTTTCGCCGCCACCCAGACATTCCCAACACAAGGTTTTATGGAGTAATAACAGAAAAACGCGTGCGGGGGGCGGGGGGGGCGGGGGGAGTCCGTCCCCTTACTGCTGGTTTTCAATCTATTTCCCACGGGGGCGGAGGGGAGGGGGCGGGGGCGGGCGCTGGAGCCTTGGAAGGGGCCCATTCACCATATAGGAGGGATGGTCTTGCGAGTCTAGATCCAGCTTCCTTGGTACCTAGAGGAGGAGAGGTGGGGGCAGTCCCAGCAGGAGGGTGTCTGTCCTGCAGAGTAGGAGGGCATTGAGAGTGAGAGGAGAGGAGGGCCCGACACTTGAGCATGAAGGAGGCTTGAAATTGAGGAAGGGACAACCAGCTGACTAGAAACCTAGTGTCATTCATGACGGAAGTCGTTCCCGGGCACCACCTTCTAGGTACCAGTGGGTGTCCGGCAGGAGCAGACGCAGGGCTGAGGATGAAGGGTCAGGCGGGCAGGCAGGTCAGGGAAGAGAGGCGTGCAACCCGAGTGGGGAGTGGACCGGGAAACAGAGGTGCTGGAGGCCTGGAGGCGCCCCTGTGGGCGGTGAACATGGAGCAGGGAGAAGACAAGCAGGCGGAGGACAGGAGGCGGAGGCCGGAGGGTTGTAAGGGCAGCATTTGCAGTGACGAAGGGGTCCTGGGAAGGTCCGGTTCAGAGAGGCCAAGCCGTTGGACAGACTGAGGCCAACCACGTTGACAACAGACAGACAGCCTTCACCGCGAGTCCTGGGAACCAAGGAACCATGCCCGCAGGCCAGAGACGCCCTACCCAGGAGCTGGGGAGCGGGGAGGTGAGGACCAGTAAAAGCTTTGTAACTCAGTGAGTGAGTGAGTCAGCCTGCCTGAGGCCACGCAGCCGGTGGTGAGTGGCAGACAAATGTCAGCCGCCATCAACCCCAGATCTGGCTCCTCACGGGTCAGAGAGTCCAGGGTCACTGGGGCCAGCCCAAGTCATAGTCACGAGGCCTCACCTTTGCCAGGTAATTATCTTGGGTGACAAATAGCAATCACTGCCTTTCACCCTCATTTCCAAACTCTGTCCAAAGGTTATTGTGCAGGTAAGTGGGGTGCCCCACCCCCATTAGTCAAATAGACAGGGAGCTTGAAAAGCGGGCCAGGTGCCACGCGTGGCCGCCGAGGGCTCTTGCCTGTATCTATCTGAAAAGGTGAGTCAAACACGAGGATGCCTCGAGACCTCGAGAGTTCAAGGTTTCCTCCAGCCTGGCCGGCCGCTGGCTGCTGCTGTTTCAACAGTGACCGTACACAGACATCATTCATGCCCAAAGGAGGGGCCCACTCGGACTAGGGGGTTTCTTGTGTTACCCCTAAAATATGGCTGTGGTCAACATCAGG